AATTTTTTCCCTTGATTTTATAAGAGCATCCTAATTTTGGCGGATTCGTCAAAGACCGTTCGGTATTTTTAAACCGTTTATAATCGATTACAAGACCAAAATTACATGTTGAGATACCAATATTAATCTCGAAAACTATTGTCACTCATAAAATATCAAAAGTCGATCTTTTATGTGTTGAATCTGCACTAATAATCTATTGGTTAAGAAATGCTTTCACAGTTTATTTATACAATATAAATGCTTTATAATAACATATGTTAGTATATTTAAGAAGATATATGTGATCATTTTGCTTTATAACGTTTTTTTTTTGTTAATGTATTTGAGTGGTGTCGGTTCGGAGCGCATGGAAAAATGCTCATAATTACATGTAAAAAAAGAAACTTTTAGGTATGAAATACTTTTCCTCATTTTCCAACAGATTCAAAGTATATTTTAAGCCTGAGTAAAATACCAAAAACGATGATTTTTTGCAATATTTGTATGGGAAACCTCTAAGGGGGTGAACCATAGGTATGGGTGGATCGGCCTTGCAAAGTTATTTGGGGTTTGTCATACATTTAGACGCGATTGGAGCACTCTAAATGGATTAAAACGGAATTTGTCAAAATTCAATCCCTATCTTTGGGTCAATGCACGGGACATCAGAATTCATTTTAGAGGTATGGTTTCTTCAGCAAAGTATCTTATTTTAAAGCGACTTTTAAATCGACCCGCCCTAAGATATATATATATATATATATATATATATATATATATATATATACATATATATAGTCCAGTATCAGAATTTTGCTTCCGTATCTTATATATCCCGGCATATAAAGCCAATGTGTGACTTACGGTTACGGTATTGATTGGTAATATAATGGCCCAGTTTATTCTAAAGGCTGAAATTTCTGAAGTAGCCAGTGCAAATTGTACATCGTACCTGTTTGAAAACTACACCGTAACTAGATATTGCTTTAAATAAAAACTAGTGGTGTATGGCATCGTGCCTTCAGGCAAATTGCTGGAACTTCCCGTACCGTTATGAAATATTCGAGAAATGTTGAACGTTTTCAAATATATTATTACAAATACTGTAACTTTAATTATTTTTGCTATCTTGTTATATCTGAGCAAATCAAATGTAAATCATAAATCATTTTATCTCCAGAACATTAACAATCGCCATTTCATTTCATTTCGAATTCAATTTCAAAAAAATAGTTGCCTAATTTACACAAAATTGAAAAAGTGCTCCCTTATAGTCACAGTCTAAACGCATTTGCAAATAATTCTGTGCGACATTTTCACTTATACTGTGCTTAACTTGGCGACATTTTCACATTTTTCAATAGCTTTCACAAAATTGGAAAAGTGCTCCAGTACATAAGCAGTCTAAACGCACTTGGGTAAACATTTGTACCAGAGTGGCGCTTATACTGTGCTTAGCCTGGGTATTATTTTCAATTTTTAATCCAAAATTACAAAAATATTTTTTGAAAGAAAAAAATTAGAAACAATTTTTTTTCCAAAAGCAATTATTTATTTGAAACAAGCAGAAAGTTCTTTGAATCATTTAAATAGGGCGCTTAGTTCTCTCAAAAACTGCCATTTTTTTAACATTTAGCTCTGTATCTCCGAAACCGCTGGGCCTATCTTTGTCAAAAACTAATAACCACTTTTCCCCGTCATTACGAACTGAATGTTTTTTGGATCATACAAAGCGAATGATCCGTTCTCTCAAAAACTCGATTTCTATTTTCTGCACTCTTTGCTCCATATTTCCGTAACGGCTGGACCTGTCTTTGCCAAAAACTAATCAGCGCATCTCCCTGTCAATAGGTATCGAATGTTTTTTGAACCATTTTTTCTGAGGTATGCCAAAATGTTTAGAAGCCTTCGAAACGTCGAGAAATGCAAAAATTTTCATTTTCGATTTTCGGCCCATTACTATAACTACCCTACGGGAAGTTAATTAGAGCAATGACATACACATGTAACAATATTTCATATCGATAGTTACACCTAAATGTCTACAACATGGAAATAATTGATTTTTGAATATAAAATATTTTAGGCTAATATAAATATAATTATACCTATAAAACATCACAATGAAACTGATGCTGTTAAGATTTAGTTGAAGAACAGACTAGTTGAGCTCTATTCACTTTTACTTACTCAATTTGTATCATTTATCATCAAGATAAGATTGTTAGCATCAGAGAAATTGGAAATCTTGTATACAGATTTTAAAACAATGACAATCTATATATCACAATTGGAACACGTTGCAAGTGGCATAAGATATTTAACACCCCGTTGAATTAATTACTAGATAGACAAGGTACATGTAACAAATATGTTGCAAAATGTTGCATTATGAATTTTGATTAACCCGAATGACTGCAGATTAAGATTAAAGTACTGCAGATAAAAGTATAGATTCATATGTCTACACAAACTGTGGAACCCTCAAACTAAATTCAAACTAGTGGTTCATGGTATCGTGCCTTAAGGCAAATTGCTTGAACTACACGTACCGAAAATTAAAATGTTTATAGAAGTTTTACAAAAAATTTAAACTTTTTAAAAAATTTACTTCTTTGAAAGATTTTTTAAAGCAATCATGCTGCGTGGCTGTTTTAAATAAGAAATATCGAAGCGCGTAAGCGCTGCATTGCAGTCTTACGGATAAATCTCGAAACGGAACCCATGTAAACAAAATTTATACATACTATATAAATTTAAATATCTGTATAAAATATCTGATAATTTAATGTCTAATGATCATTTTTAACCGGCAAATGGCATTTTTTTTACTTTTTTTCATTCGATCTCCGAAACCGCTAGACCTGCCTGCCTAAAAATTCAGTCACTTCTTCATTTTGTCAATACACATAAAACATTTTTCGAATAATTGAAACGGAACGCTCCATTCTCTCAAAAATTGAATTATCATTTTTGACACTTTTTGCCCCGTATCTTTAGAATGGCTAGACCTGCCTTGTCCGGAAACTAATCAACACGTCTTCCCATCAATAAGAATCGAATGCTTTTTGAATTATTCAAATCGGTTGATCCGTGCACCCGAATCATGGACGAAAATTTGTATCCAAGCATACACACACACATACATCATTTTTTTCAGGAAAAGTTCAGGAGGTCTTGAAACGTAAAGATAAGAAAATATTTTCATTTTCGTTTTTTTGCGATTACTATAATTTGCCCTATAGGAAGTTAAAAATAAAAAACCATTCAATGCGCGCAAATGACGCTCCACTATTATTACATATATATTAGCTCATAGCTATTTGTTTTTATTGTAGAATTGAAATTTAAAAAATAATCACACCTAAAAGTATAATTTATAATCTAAAGAATAAAAATATTAGGAATTCAATTATACAGTTGCGGTAAAGTTATCCGATTCAAACCTTTAATAAATTGCGTCCAAAGTTTTTGCTTTTAGTTTCTGATAATAAACACGTTACAAAACTAGTTGCGTCTATGGCATCGTGCCTTAAGGCAAATTGCTGGAACTTCCCGTAACGTAACGAAATATTCGAAAAATACTGAATGTTTTCAAATAGATTATTATTAATATTGTAACATTTTCTAATACTTATAAAAATTATATGAACTGAACTGCAAAGTTGAAATTTTTTGAAGTATATTAGAACTATAATCAGAATTAAAAATAAAATCTGAATTATTTTCTATATACAAAAAAATTATTTTTTGAAAAAAAAAAAGTTGAAACAAATTTTTTTTTTCAAAATCAATTATTTTGTTGACAAGCATAAAGTTCTTTGGATCATTTAAATCGGACGCTTAGTTCTCTCAAAAACTGCAATTTTTTACATATTTTGTTCCGTATCTTCGAAATGGCTGGGCCTGCTTTTGCCAAAAACTAATAAACACTTCTCCCAATCATTACTAATTGAATGTTTTTTAGATCATTCAAATCGGATGCTCCGTTCTCTCAAAAAGTCGATTTCTATTTACTGCACTCTTTGCTCCGTATCCCCGAAACGGCTGGACCTGCCTTTGCCAAAAACTAATCAGTTCTTCTCCCTATCAATAGGAATCGAATGTTTTTTGAGCCATTCAAATCGGTTATCCGTGCGCCCGAAAACGTGACAGGAAATTTGTATCCATACATGCATACACACACACATCCATTTTTTCTGAGGTATGCCAAAATGTTCAGAAACCTTCAAAACGTCGAGAAATGTAAAAATTTTCAATTTCGATTTTCGGCCCATTACAATAACTTACCCTACGGGAAGTTAAAAGATCAATTAATTAAAATTAATTAATATCATTTTAAATACATCAAAATATCTGTTGAAAAGGTCAAAATACTCCTGATGTATCGACAGACGCAAACTATTAAATTATATACACTTTGCATGAGGAAGAAAGTTACGTATTTATAAATTATAATATAAAATTATTATCAATTACAGGTTAGGATCATGAACTAATTCTAACTATTACCACAACATATTCAAAAGTAATTTATTTGCAGTAATATCATTAATTGGTATGGAATAACTTATCGTGTTTTGATTATATAAAAGATAAAATTTGGCGTCGTATCTTTATATAATCAAAAAAGTAATATTTCACAGAGATATAGCTGATAATTCTATTTACTTTAACAATAATAAATATAATCTAAAAATAAAGTAATAAAATGTAGCAAAACACAGGAAAAAATTTGACAATCGTTTGACATTTGTATTGACAGTTGTTTGTTTAGTTAACCAATAACTGTTAAATAATTATTGCCATTATTATATTGAATGCTTATAAAATGGGTATAATTAAAAGTGACGTATAAAATAAAAGCGATTAATTAATAATATCGTAAAGGCAATAAGGAAACGACCCCCATTCGAGATGTCAAACGAAAAACAGCGCTGAAATGTTTACACTCGGGCCCTTGTCAAACTGTTAAAGTTTCGAAGGGAATAGATAAGAAACGTGTCGAATTGACCAACCTAGGGTCGGGCAGTATGATTTTCTTACTGGCTCTGGCCGCCGGGGTGCATTTGGACTTTTCCATGGCCATCAGGTAGCTGACATCTGCCAGCACCGCCTCTAAGTCCGCCATCTTGTAAAACTAATCTATATAACGAGTTGCATTAACACATATTCACTAGAGCACAACACCTTATATCACACATGTCATAGAGCGCCAGTAAAATCATTAGATTTTAGACAAACGTTTGCTCAGCAGAGAGAACATTTTGCACTCGAAACGCGAACGCGCCGAACATAATGTGCGGCACATAAAAACCCACTCATCACTGAATAAGTACGGTTTAGTGGCGAAGCGATACAAGTCGGCAGAGCAGTCGATGCCGGAGTACGTACATACGGCACAATGGCACTATGGGTAGAAAATGCACCGCACACTAAGCCATACCGAATTGTACGTTTGTACGGCACTGAATACGCGCAATGGCAATGGCACGGTACACGACGGGTACACGACGGGTACACGACGGGTACACGATAGACGGTATAGCACGCAACGTAAATGCGTTGTAAATGGCATAGGAATCGAGTCGAGTGCTGGCGATCGGGCGAAAGGCGCACGCGCGACGACGATCGCTCTTATCATCTTATCTTCTGCGCTGCTGCGCTGCTGCGCTGCTGCTGCCGCGGTCAACGCTGCTGCGATGCTGCGATACTGCGATCGCACTTATGCAGTCTCACTCATGCTGCTGCAGTTACCCATGTTGTACCTCTGTCTCCATCCAATGCGAATGCAAATACAAATGCAAATGCACTCTAATGTCAATTTAATGAATTAATTAGTGCATGTCAATACACGAGCATCGCCGTATAACGTTCCGTATTGTGTTGATGTTCTGAGGAAATGTATATAAAAATTCCATAAGCCGAATAAGAAACTAGCTGTAAGTGGAATTCTGTCTTAAGGCAATTAAGGCATCGTGCCTTAAGGCAAATTGCTGGAACTTCCCGTACCATTTTTTTTTTTTAAAACGATTAACATTTTTGAAAAAAATTTACTTCGCAAAAATAAGATTTTTGAGAAACTATAAATTGGACTAAAAATTACTTTTTTTTGGAATTTTTTTTTTTTTTTTTTAAAAAAATGTTTTCTTTATTTTGACATATTTTGGAAGATCTAAACTTTTTTTCAAAGCAATCGTACTGCTTTAACTGCATAAAGACGAAATATCAAAGCGCGTAAGCGCCGCGTCGTCGTCTAACGCGTAAACATTGGTACGGAACCCATATACCTGTAAACCAAATTCATACTTATTGTTAAAATCTCTATAAAATATCTGATAATTTGATGTGCATAAGTCTAATGATCATTTTTGACCGCCAAATGGCATTTTTTTTTACTTTTTTCATTAAATCTCCGAAACCGCTAGACCTGCCTTTATGAAAATTTGATCGGTTCTTCATCTTGTCAATATAAGTAAAATGTTTTTTGAATTATTAAAATCGGACGCTCCGTTCTCTTAAAAACTGAGTTACCGTCTTCTGCACTTTTTGCCCCATATCTTCGGAACGGCTAGACCTCCCTGCGCCAAAAACTAATCAGCACGTCTCCTTATCAATACGAATCGAATGTTTTTTGAATTATTCAAATCGGTTGATCCGTGTTCCCGAAATCGTCGACGAAAATTTGTATCCGCACATACATACACACACGTACATACATACATACATACACACACACACACATACATCCGTTTTTCTAAGGTATGCCAAAATGTTCAGAAACCTTTGAAACGTAAAGATATATAAAAATTTTCATTTTCGATTTTTTTGCGATTACTATAACTTGCCCTACGGGAAGTTAATAATTATTCGGCTCAATATTAATTTATTAATATTAAACTTAATATTAATTTATTAATATTATATATATTAATTTATTACAAGCCGAATAAGAAATAATTTAAACTAGTGGTGCACGGTATGTGCCTTACAGCAAATTGCTGAAGCTTCCTGTACCGAAAACTAAATTATTAAAAATACTTTGCAAGACTTTAAAAAAAATAGATTTTTGAAAAACTTTAAAATTTTTGTAAAAATTGACTTGTAATATTTGATTTTTTATAATTTGATTTTTTTTTGTATTTTGATTTATTTTAAAAGTTTTGAACATTTTTTTTTAACAATCGCACTGCATAGTTGATTTGGAGTCGAAATTTCAAAGAGCGTGAGCGCCGCGTAGTCGTCTAACGTGTAAACATTGGTACGGAAACCATATAAATGTACACAAATTTTTTAGTTATGATTATAATCTTTGTAAAATATCTGATAATACGATGTACATATGTCTCTATAATGTTCAGTTTTGACACTCAAATGGCATTTTTTTTCACTTTTTTATTAGATCTCCGGAGATGCTGGACCTGCCTTTGCAAAAATTTCATCAGTTGTGCATTTCGTCAATACAAGTACAATGTTGTTTGAATTATTTAAGTCGGACGCTCCGTTATCTCAAAAACTGAAATGCAATTTTTGGCATTTTTTGCCCCGTATCTCCGAAACGGCTAGATCTGCCTTTGCCAAAAACTAATCAGCACGTCTCCTTATCAGTAGAAATCGAATGTTTTTTGAATTATTCAAATCGGTTAATCCGTGTTTACAGAATCGTCGACGAAAATTTGTATCCGCACACACACGCACGCACACACTCACACACATACATCAATTTTTTCTAAAGTATGCCAAAATGTTCATTTCGATTTCAAAATATATAAAAATGTTCATTTTCGATTTTTTGCGTTTACTATAGCTTACCCTACAGGAAGTTAAAAACTAGTGCCTTAAGGCAAATTTTTAAAAACTTCATTTTGTTTAAATTTTGAAAAAAAATTATTGGCAATTTTGATTTTCTGAAAATTTTGAATTGTTTTTAAACATTTGAATTCTTTTGAATTTCTTTCAGAAGGATCGCGCTGCGTGGCTGTTTTAGAGACGCCGTATCGCAGTCTAACGGTTAAAGATTAAACGTTTAAATCTTGGTACGAAACCCATAGAAATGTAAACACAATTTGTATTTATTATTAAAATTTCTATAAGTTACCAGATAATTTAACATGTATATGTCTAATAATCAATTTCGCCCGACAAATGGCATTTTTTTTAACTTTTTTGTTGGATCTCCGCAACCACTGAACCCGACTTTCCAAAAATTTAATCAGTTCCTTAATCAATCAATATCTTTAAAAAGGTTTTTAAATTACTTTTGGCACTTTTTGCCCTGTATCTTCGAAACGACTGGACTTACCTTTGCCAAAAGCTAATCAGCACGTCTCCCCGTCAAAACAACTCGAATGTTTTTTGAATCATTCAAATCGATTGATTTGTGCGCCCGAAATCGTATTTTTTCTAAGGTTTGCCAAAATTTTCGGGTGTATATATTAATATATAAATACTTATTTCAGTTATTCAGTTAATGTATATTCATTCTATTCACATTATAGACATTAATTGTGTTCCATTATGGCTCAGAATTCATTTTTCAATCTTATTCGCATTTTATCTCAATATTTTTTTACGGTTAGTTCATCTTAAAGGGACCAATTAAATAATAATTATATGATAGTTATATTCTGAACGAAATATATATTCAAATTTTTCGGCGGGCAAAACTCAAACCAAAGTGAAACCCAATTTAATTAATTTAAAATTTCTTATGAATAAAGTTTAACTATTTATTTATAAAAAGTAAAATCAAAATATATAATCATAAATAAACGGAAACAAGGTCAACATCATAAACATGCACGCTAATTTCATTAGGCCAATTACCAAAAACAAAAATAAAGTAATTTAAGTAATTCAAATCGTATTTGTATAAGTGAAATGGTATTATTTTCAATTTGCACAATTATGAATCTGCATCCTTTTTCTGTTCAATATATTATAGTTTTCTTTATTTATTTTTCATTATAGTCCTATGAAGATTGAACCGATCGGTCCACAAAATTATATTATAAGCCGTAGTTTCTGTAATAAGATTTCATACAAATTTTTAACTTTGACCAATAATTTATATTTATATTAATAGTTTAATAGCTTTAATATAACTTCATTAAATGAATTGGATAAAATACCACTATTAAAATATTAACCTTATTTTGGAAAATTATAATTAATTGGTTTTCATGCCAGTAAGAAACTGTAAGCAGCATAACTGATTTGTCTCAAAAAAAATATAGTATACAGTATATAGTATAAAATTGTACAAATTTCATTACTAAATATTCAAAGGTAGATAGAACCACGTACATGGTAAATTCAAATATATATTTGAAATATCCAAATTGAAATTGCCATATCCGAATTTTGCAAAGTGATTCCAGCAAAATAGCTTATTGTGTAAATATTTCTTTTTATACGAGATAGATCATTATAAAGAAAAAAATCCAAAAGCTTTAAAAGTTAAAAAAAATTACTATATATTTTGCTGAATAAAATTTATATACTTACGCATTATAAAAAGTGAGAACTGCAAATGATATAATATTAACAATTAAAGTAAATTAAACAAAGATGTAAACATTGATATAGTCAATGCAATCACTATAAATAAATAAAAATTTAAATCCTGCAAATTATACAGTTTTATATAATTCTCTAATAATAGATTAGTTAAGATAAATGAAACACTACATGTAATAGTACGATAATATGAATACCATGCAATTAGAGAAACCTAGTGAATAAATCAATACATCAAACATATAATTTTTATTGTCAAAAATAACTAAAATTCTTAAATAACTTATTCTAATAAAACTATAATGGCAGATTCTTCATTATTTTAGTTGTGAATAAATAGTTCTAACTACTTTAATAGCTTTATTATATATTAATCATTACTGAATTACATAATCCAATATTTATTTTTAGATACTTATATAATATAATGTGTGAGTCTCATTATATAATATAATATATTTATATAAATACTAATTTGTAAAGGAATCGTTCTGTTATAAAAATCGATATTTATAAATACAACTACAAACGATACATGTAGCAGAGCATTACTAAGCCTAGTATTATGTGTATTATTTTTACCCTGTGTAATATTACATAATCTCATACATTCAGGATAAATTTTTGATCGAAATCCAATTGCTTCTGTGAACTATTGATAAACCATAATTGAAATATTATGAGAAGAACAGCTAGCAACATGATTTACAAAATTCATAATGTCAAGGTTTTAAAGTACAAATTTTAATCTATCTGCCACAATATTGGTATGTTCTTCCAAGAATATGGTTCAAGAGAATCTAATTCTGATTGTATTTCTTATAAATACTATTTTGATGCATTTAATGTTGAAAATTTTATAATAAAATCTATCAAGGAATATATTAATCTAGAAATAAAATTGAACATAAATTACTATTTTTGTTATTATTAAATGATTTGAACAATGTAAAATAGTTAAATCACTTGCTTATTGTTGCAGTTTAATACAGAGTGCATCTCAGAAAATTTTACAACAAAAAGAAATAATACTTTTTCAAAAATTTGACGATATTTTAACAAAATCAATATTTAAATTTCCTGCAAAATCTAATTAAATGTTTTTTACACAAAGTGACACACTACACAAGTAAGTATAAACGGTTTATTATTTTTATTAGATTTTTCAATTTCAATATGTAAGATGGTTAAATTTAACTAGTTTTTATACAGAGAAAATGCATAAACATAACGAATGCATTTGTTTAAAGATTGGCACATATAAAATTATGTCAAGTAAAATAGAACTAGTGTAACAAACATTGTCTAAAACCACTGAAAATCATATAAAGCGCATTAAATTATGAAAGAAAATGTTATTAATGTAAACTTGCTTATCTTATCAAAACATTTCTTCAAACCAAAATTGTATAAATTTTCTGCTGAAGTAATCACAAGGTAGCTAGTGGCAGAAAATAGTATAAATGTGATTAACATAACATTCCACTGGATCCATTTTAATAACTATTCTATAATGAAAAAAAAAAACATCCTTAAATATGTATTACAGTTTCTAAATTGATTCCACTATAGCATTAATAATGTTTTTGATGAATATGTTTTATTATTTTTTAAAGAAGAGCTCTACAACCTTATATTATTAATCTTATTATTAAGAAAATGCTATGCCATATGCTAAAATTGCCACTGACTTCCTTGTTATAATCAGAATGAGCATAAATTAAAAAAACATTAAAATTTAATGTTTGGTGAAATTAAAATGATTAATTATCATTTAATGATTAAATGAAAATTAATCATTTTAATTTCACCATTTAAATTATTGAATTAAAAAAAATATATATTTGTCATTTACGTTGATAAAATAGATCTATGATTTAGTTACAAAAAATTAACCAAACTTTTAATTGTACAATATTTTCTATTCATAACAAACTTGAATTTATAAATAATAAAATTTTAATTAAAGTATTGACTGTTATTAAAATTATAGTTAACAGTATAATAATGTAGTTAATCATATTTGAGTCACAACTACATTGAATTTGTATAAAATATATAATTCTTATTAAATATAAATAATACTTATCATTGTTTCCAATATTATTATAATAATAAATAATTTGATTGCAGAGTATTCATGGATAGTAACGCACATTAGGCGATCATCGCAATCATTGCAATACATGTACTACCATCTAAGTGTAAATAATGTTCTAAGTTATCAGTAATAAGTTTGAAAGTTATGTGTATATTACAATCGCTGATCACATTATAATCATAATGCTGGTGATTTGTTTGAAAAATTATTAAGCCAATTATAAAAACTGATGTGTTAAAAATACCATATGTTAGTTTTATTAATTTACGCCAAATGCCATAAAACGGAATTTTGGATATTTAGTAACTCTTAGAAATAATTTCATCATTGAAAATGATTGAAATAAAACAGCAATCGAGCTACTTGATGATCAGTCACTCTCTCACAGAAAATATTATTTTGAGAGACAAATTTATACCAACAGTAAGCAACCAAAGTAGCCCTGGTGAAGCCCTTAACCATCTACCAACAGGTGTCTCTTAGACATTAATAATATATTATTGTATATAGGCGCTATCACGTGGGTGTATGTATATTATATATATATATATATATATATATATATATATATATATCAATATATATATAGGTGTTATCAAATGTATTCATATATATGGTCAAATTTTTGCAAGCAATTAAAAGTTATGGTAGATGATTAAAGTCTAAATGTGAATAAATTTACTAGTTTTTCTTATGGTCATATAATAATTCAATAACTATATTTCAATGATGGTTATCATTCTTACTTATTGTCAATAAAAGCATGCAAAGAAAAATTCTCTGCCATTTTAGAATTTCAGTTCAATACTTGGACTTTTTAATTGTATTCAATATTTTTTATGGATTTAAAAAAGATCTAGTCATATTAAATGGTTTTTGTTGTTTTCAAAGTTCCTTGGAATTCAATAGTTGTAAATTTTTTTATGCTACTAAGAATCAGTAAGCTTGTGTTGTTTCATGCTAATGAAGAAGTAAAGAATTTAGAAAACTGTTTATTTAATTTTGACTAAATATTTCATCTATGTTTTTTTCATATATTATCCCTGTCATATATTAACATTTTAGCAAATCGAAAGTACCCCAAACAAAGTTCAACATCAACAACAAGCCTAAAGAGACCCTGTTCATACAAAAGATTTGAATGCTATTTATATTCAGTCACATCAGTCAAAAACAGTACAACTAATACAAAATAAATACTTTTTTCATAATATGCTTATTTGTTATACAGGTATTAAAATATTTGTAAATAATAATCAATATAAATAATTTTTTCTATCATATATACATTTGAATTAAAAATTAACATAGAATGACGTTACAATAAATGATATTCCTTCCAACTCACTTTTATGCTATGGCATATAAATCAGTAATCCTTAAATATAAAATAGTATTACTGACTAATTAAAGAAATGCCGTTGTCAATATACTCAATTTAAATATTATAAATGATAATCATAATAAGCAGTTGACAATGACAATTATAATCAGCATAAACAGCAGTTTATGATGTGTTAGGCCTATTAATATAAGTTTGTTGAAAAATATAGTGTGTACTATAATTTGGGACTATAAAACTGTATGAAATATATATCTAAAATACATTCATTATGTAATTTAAAAATCACTGATTTACATATCAGATAAAAAATTGTCATCATAAAATAAGCAGCACTATGTCAATTATAAAATTCTATATTTTACAAAATTCACTATTTTCTAATTTATTATTGAAAAAAGTTTCATTTGAGTTAATACTATTTGTAGTATAAAAGAATATATATGATACCGCTATGGTCGGCGTGGGTGGAGTGGAACATATCACGATTAATGAAAATGCAATTGTACACCAAGTGACGATCGATGGAATGTGCACGAACATTGATTCATTTTTCCTGCTTTATTTTAATTGCAGAACCTATAATACAAATGGTATATATCTACCATTAGATTATTATACAGCAAAGTGATTAAAACATAAAGCAAATATATGAATTTGAATCAACTATTCCAAAAATGTTATTCAAGTCAATTATGAAATTCATATATATTATTATTCATAGGCCTCACTTTCTGAGAATGTTGAAAAAAAAAAACAAGAATTTAGAGTCTTAATCCAGTTCGGGTAGTCAGTTAACATGTAATAATAAAATAATTCACTGTTGATTATTTTAACCACTTCTGAGAAAGTTTAGTATTATAAACTTCGAATAAAATATTATTGAAAAACATGTGTCAGATAAAAGCACGAGAAATTAATATGCAATCATGTTAGCAGAGTTGGAGAATTTACAAGGAAAAACATCACCAAACATAAAAAAATATTTGCAAAAACAAACAAAACAGAAATAACAAAAAGCATAAAAAATGTTAGCTTACCTTCTGATATTAAATCTCAATTATATTTAATATAGTTTATTTGAGTAAACTTGCATATAGCAAATTAAATGAGCTTTATTATGTTGTCTGAGCATATTTTACTTGTTATTAAGAAATTTGTGATATATATCTCTTACAATACTGGCATTGGAATCTCGTCAGTAGCACTTTCGAGAACAAGCGCATTTTCTTACTACATCAATGTGCTTTGTATAACGCGTACCATCGCTGCAGATCAACCGAACCTGAATCATAATCATATTAAAGTTGTACACAATTATATATATATTATATATATATATATATATATATATATATATACATATATAAATTTAAACTAGAAATTTCGAAATCATTAATATTAAATGATAACCTTACATAAAATTAAATATTTTTACCTTACGGCGCTTGGTTTTGCGAGCTTGACAGCACTGTTTTCTGCACTCGCCAACACATTTTGCAGTTTTCAACGGTTTCTTGGAACGGCAACCATTCTCACTATAATATTCCCTGAGCTGTTCTTTCCGGCACACCGCAACAGTTTCTTAAAAGATTAACCATCAAATTAATTTAAAAGAATAGTTATTTTTAAAAAATGTACAAGTAGGTATCGCCCAAAATAAAAAATATCGCAAATTACAAAACTATGTAATAGTACCTTCTTCACAAAATCGTCCGTGCATATTACCGCTGCATTTACATACGTATCCATCTGTAGACGTGGGATTAGGAACGCATTTACTGCCTTTTCGACATTGGTTATTGTCACATGGATTACTCTGTAAATGTAATCATTTTATTACGAACTGATTGTTATTTTTTAAAATTTGTCCTGATATGATATGTTTTTTATTCATTAATTTTAACTCATTAAATTATATGCAATAAATAAAAATCTTATGAAAAACCTATAATTATACCTCAATATTATGCTCATCTTCCATTACAAGAGCTGATTCATATGGATTGTGGTCAATAGATGCGCATCCTGGTGTGACAGATTGAGTATGTGCTGCATTTCCAAAGTCAACTAATTTGTGATTGATCCACACCTCACGGAAGCATCCTTTATCACAATAAAATAATATTTCATAAAAAAATATATTCGTTACATAACAGCTCATAAATTATCATATTCTTTACAGCCTCTATAGAACATTTTACTTATATTTTCCTCACAGTTCAGCAGTATTTAATATGATGTTGCAAAAATACATAGAGCTTGCAAAAACTTACTATAAAACGGTTAATTACTATTTTACTAGAAAATTTATAAACAGAATATTGCAAGAACCTTTAAAACTAGTAATGTTTCTCAAATGCCACTCCGAAAAAGCTTGATATCCAACTTCTGATGGTACACCGCCTAAGTAAAGTGGTGTGGTCAATCTAAGATATTCTTGCAATCCTTCATTGATGATAGATCGCGCTAAGCCGCGATTTACTCGAAGTGTAAAATTCTTTCTAACTGCTAACAACTCTGCAGTATGATAGTGGCCATCCGCCACCATTTCGAAACTGGAATAGTGTAATTACAAAATTATATATAATTTCAACTACATATACAATAATATTTATAATAGGTTGTTAACATCAATCTATTTATACAAAATATATAAATAAAATGCTCAAAACGTAAATACATAAAATAATATATAAGTATATTACGTTTAGTATGACGCCGAATATATTGATCGAGAGTTTATTATGACGTAATCACACCATGAAGTTTGGTTTTCAACAAAATATCCTTATAAAACAGTCGGATATAATGTCTTTCTTTATATTGACATGTTGATTATGACCCTTTTTTGAAGTAAAACTTCTTTAGGCGCGACTAGGGTGTAAATCCGTACAAATGCAACGGAAATAGCGATATGCCCAAACTGTATGTCAGTCGGTCTCGATGAAATCATTTCAATACGCGTCGATTGTGATTAGTCGTCGTGTATGTGAATAGTGATCTGTCGTTGTATGCGTACCGATATCAACAAACAAATCGGCATAGATAATTAAACATTTTAAAGTTACCTAAATCGTAGTACAAATCTTGATTTAATGAAAAATGCCTGAATCAGAAGAATATTTTACCCTGTCCCTTGAGAATAATAAAACAAATTAACATTTATGCCGTGTACTAAACGTAAGTTTATTGAATACAAATTATTTCTATATTATTCGTAGTTTCTATAAATCTTTGAAGTTATTAAAATGGATAATATTTTTTAGACAAGACAGATATTAAAGCTGTTCAAAGAATGAGATTATGTCGCCAGCGAAAAAGTAAAAAAAAACACAAGCAATCAATGAATGTATGTTAATTTTAATTACATGAAGTTCTTCAAATACAATTACATGATGAGTGAAGTTGCGAAAACAATATTTGTTTAGGCGTTGTTTAACATAATCCACTGTGTGAAGGAATATTATAGAATTTATGAATCAGCAATTACTTCATTTCTATAATGAAGGTTCATTTCTAAATGCTAATTACAATGACAAACCGATCATATCTGAAGTATGACTTCAATTACATTATTGTTTTTAAATATTATACATATTTTTAATGTTATTATAAATATATAATTTATAATTTATCATTATATAAATGTGTATAATGGTTGACACTAATAAATGTGTGCATCACAAGTGTTACCATATTACTAATAAACATTATTCAAAATTGTTATATGATGTATTTATTTTTACTTAAATGCCATCTTGTACAGTAGCAAATAAGTTTTACTTCAATCGCGTGTGAACCTTACGCGCAATCTTTTTTTTTTTAATTATGTCCAGTTAATTTTTCACCTCCGGTAACTGGATGGAAGAAAAAAAAAGCAGCCAAGATTATTAACACTAGAAAGACGGACGCAGTCATTTTGACTGTTTTCCATTTTCAAACATAAAAATAACTATGTATTTGAAGTCGCAGCTTCGTGAAATTTTGTGACTTTTTATACAACATATAAATGCGTAGATAAATCGTATTATTTGCCTTATCTCACTTTTATTTTCAATATTCTTACATGTTATGCCTGCATGGACGGAACACAGTCATTTTGACTGCTCTAGAAATTTTATATTACAAACGGCTTTGTTATTGTATTGCAAATAGTTATCTCGCGTGCATTCATCTCCAATATGCGATAATGCATTTTTTATATAAAAATAACCGAATTTTGGTAAGTATTGACATTAGACCGGTCTTTTTCGCGTAGTAACTTTCAGTATAACGCGTTGTTCAGTTGATTTTTTAGAACTTATAAATAAAATGTCGAAGAGAAGTGAATTATTGCAAAGTAAAGAGTGTTCCGACATAGAATCAAATGCAGAAAATTGGGCACAATCATTTGATGATGAATTGGATTATATTCAACGTGAATCATCTAATTCTGAGGGTAGCGATGAAGGTGATAACTATTGATGAAAATGAAAGTGTATGCAGGAGGGTGCTAAGTGGCCCAGAAACTGATGAAAGAATTCAAGGAACAGAAACAGCTCTCGATGGTACTGTATGGACAAAAATTGCCGAAGGTGGTACTCCAGGAAGGTCATCATCTGTGTTTTCAAGGGTGTGAAAGGGCCAACGAGCTTTTCAAAAAAGAATATTATTACAGGTGATCTTGTCAGTGCATTTTCGTTGATAATAGATAATTATATTATCAAACACATAAAACAGTGCACAGAAGAAGAGGGCAGTCAAATTTTGGTGTACGATTGGACAACATCGTTACAGGAAATATTATTGGAATGCATTTATTGGAATTTTATATGCTTGTGGGGCCTATGAGGCAAAAAATTTGAAATTGATTTACTTATGGTCAGCAAAGAAGACATGACAGATTAAAGGTAAAGAAAATATACCGTGAAATCCCACGTAGTTCACGTAGATGACCCCTGCAAATATTTTTCAATATTTTGGATTTGGCTGCGATAAATGCCTGGATTCTTTACAAAGAAGCGACAGGAATAAAAATCCGAAGAAACAAATCCTTAGAGAACAGTTTTTGTTTGAATTGGGAGAACAGCTTTCCGCGGACTACACGACATCAACACAAAAAAAATCAAAGGAAAATGATGACCCACAGACATCATGCACATACCAGTAGTAATAAAAGAAAATTTTGCCAAATAAGACTTTGTAATAATAATAAAACTAATAATACGTGTCAAATTTGCAACAAACATATTTGCGGAAAATGTACTCATAAAAAGATCTCAAATTATATTTGCATAATTTTAAAAATAATGAACTTTTTTGTCAGATGAACTATTTTTTTATTTTTAGCACTCATAGATAATTTGTATAAATGTAAATAGTACATGAAATAATAAAAATTAATTTTAAACAAATTTCTAAACGCATTATTTATTTTTTTCACGACGCAGTCATTTTGACTGTTTTCAGGCAATGTAGGTATACTCAATTCGTCCGTCTTTCTAGTGTTAAGAGGAATAAAGACAGATTGACTGTTTTGTCTTGTGCTAATGACTGGCGCCCCCCTTAATGACCACATTGTACTGTTTTTGTAGTTTAATTATTAGCCTAATAATTTTTATAAAATGCCCAATAGTACGGAACCCGGTCCCGGAATAAAGAAAATTAATAACAGTGTAATTTTATTATATAAGATGTGTCTTTACCTGTACATGGTTGACACAGGATAGTTTCCGACATCGTAACTGACACGAATCCGCCCATTGAAAAGTTCCACAGCAATGTGCTCTTTCTGACCGTCATATAATAAGACTCCGTCAGGCTGCGTGGTGCTAAATACTATAGTAACATTAGCTTCGGGTCTAATGCGCAGGGGTTCCAGCTCAACGTACGAATTGTTAGATCCAAAAGTTAAGCTCGTAAGATATTCGCAACGCTTTCCTGAAAAACAAAACAAAACTGGTCATTAAAACAACCCTCTGTAAATAAAGAAACTTTATCTATTGACATTGTAATACTATTTCAATCCAATGATTGAATGAGTTCAAGAGATTCTGTCTATATACCTGAGTAACCAGGCGCGCATTTGCATATATAATCTGCATTGGCTGGATTTGGTTGAAAGCAAACTCCCTGCTGACACTCATGGTGTTGACAGGGAGATGTTTGAGGATACATCATTGCGACTATGGGAGCACTTTCACAATATTTTCCAGTGTAGTCTCCTGCACATCGGCAAACGTAATCATTTACACCGTCTATGCAACTTGCTCCATTCTGAAACCAATTTATACCGAACATTTTAAACTGAACTAAAAGCATATAATTATAAAATTATATTTTATATTATATATGAAATATAATTTTATAATTACATGTATTATTTTTATAACACTCATCAAAATGCTAATCATGTTATAAAACTATTAGTTTATATTTTCACATACCTGACACATATTACCAATGCAATTATCTATATCTTCGGTGCAATTTTCTCCTTTATAACCTGGAGCACATTCACAAGCATAGTGATTTGATTTGTCAATACATTTAGCTCCATTTCGGCAGGGGTTGTATTCAATTGAGCATAAAGATGTTTTTGACTCACAATAATCACCTGTAAACAATATAACATCAATGTTGTCCAAAACACTACAAAATAAGCTATTTTCAATATACCAGAAAAGCCAGGTAAACATTTGCATTGATATGCTTGCACTTTGTCTATACAAGTGGCATTATTTTGGCATTTATTGTTTATACAATCATCCATATTTGTTTCACAGCGTACACCGGTGTATCCAGGTAAGCATGCACAACTAAAATGATACAAAAAGTTGTATGTGTTCTAATAACATGGTATTTACATATTAGAAAAAAAATCTACTTAATTTAACCAGTAACCAATAAATATATCCAAATTACCTAAATCTGCCCTCTTCAAGAACACTGCAGGAAGCGTTATGTCTACAAGGATTACCATAACAAGCGTCAATCATATGCTCACATGTTTTACCATGATAACCTGGAGGACATATGCATTGAAATCCAAGCTGATCTTTTGGAACACATTTTCCATTATTTTGGCATGGAAATGTGTAACACACATTGCATTTTGACAAGATTCTATTGCTGACTTTTTCTAAATATAAAAATACAAAAAAAGCAAATATTAAATCAAATTGCATAAAACTGAACTTAATACACAGATAAAATACCTTTGCATTGAAATAATGAAGTTGGTGTTGACAGCAGCAATTTATCTTTCATAGATAGTGGTTCAGTGCAGCGAGCAATGCCAGGTTCAACATAGTCTAGTTTAACCCATTCTGAAAGCCAGCTTAATGAGCAATCACAATAAAGCGGATTGTTTCCCAAAGCTCTAAAATATATTAAATTATAAGATAAGGTAATCGATAAACAACATGTTAATGTCATATTGCACAATTTTATATCATACAGTTACAATAAGTAATGAATAAATATTTGCAATAAATAGTACTTTTTTCTTTCAGAAACACTTACATGTGAGTAATAGCTTGTAAATCAGTGAACGTTCCTTCAGGTATCATGGATAATTGATTACCATGCAAAGATCTACATATAACATAATTTTTTTATTAGAATTGAAAAAAATATATGTTATTCAAAATTGTTTCTGAAAACAATACTTACAAAATTCGAAGATTTTTCAGTCCTTTTAAGGCATCTCTCTGGATACACTGAAGTTTGTTGTAACTTATAATTCTGTGATTAATAAATCATATAATTAAGTACATTTTGTATGTACATTATATATATATACATATATATATATATATATATATATATATATCTATATATATTCAAATATTGCAAATGTACTTACAATGTGGATAGCTTAGTGAGATTAGCAAAGGTAAAGTTGGACAGAACTGTAAGATGATTGTTACTCAAATCACTGAAAAAATATTTGTTTTTAGATATTAGCATAACAATTGAAAAGCATTATACTCACAGTCTAGTCAAAGATTTTAAATGATGCAGACGTTCAAGATGAATTACGGATATTTCATTCGACTCCAAATATCTAGAAATTGAAAGGTATGGAATGAGCATGAGTAAGCTGATTAATTTGAAAATGAAATACATAGAAAACGTACAACTCTGAAGTCTCAGCAGGTAAATTATCCGGTAGTTCAGTTAAATTCATCCTTGAACATCGCACTACAGTGCCAGTGCATGTGCATGGTGGGGGACAATAGTCTTTGCCTAAACAGCCCTTATCAGAATCACCTAAAAAAATTATAAGTTTACTTTCTAGTATAAATAAAATATGATTAAAATCAAAACAATGGCTTGCAGAAAATGAGGTATTCATCACTAACAACCTTTTTTTCCAAAACAACATAAGATTAGACTTCTTTAATATTTCACAAATTAACAATTAATAAATAATAAAAAAAACATTAAAAACAATAGTTTAGTTTAGAGCGCTTATAATCATGAATAAATATAAAATGCTTACTTAAACATTTAAATTCATGGTAAGGTAGCTCTTTGATAAGAACATCTCTAACATGAGCGGGAGCTTTGCATCTCGGCGAAGTACTAATCGATTCATGTCTTCGCAACCAATCGCCCAGCCATGCCAAATGACAATTACAATTAAATGGATTGTCTTGTAGGTGTCTACAATAATAAATAAGTGTTATATACTATATTGCTAAATATTTTATAGTTATAACATTGACAAAGAAACTTACAATGTGTGAAGAGATGTGAGAAAGTCAAATGATCCAGGCATGATGCAGGTTATTTTATTATTATTTATTGATCTGTAAAAATAGTGTAAAAACAAATGATATTTTTATCATTACAGTAATAAAAAATATAAATTTAAGTAATAATTGAAATTAAAACTTAGTTTAGGTGATGTGGATCTGTTAAGCGTGCAGTTGATGTTCAATGTGCTTAAAAATAAATATATTAATATCAACTATTCGGTAATACATACTTTTAAATAATACATTATTATATTTATTTATAAAATTTATAAGTAATAATAATCAAGGCTAAAATATACTAACAAATAACTAAAACATTAGATTCATAAAAAATATAGAATAGTATTATCAGAACTATTAAGCAAAGTTATTTATATAAAATGTATTTCTATATTTGTGCATAATCCTAAAAACTACTATTTTTGCAGCAACAGTCCATAGAAATGAGCTTTTGTATAAATTTTTCGGAATACGAAACTCTACAAGCGCTCCTTTAATTTTATGCAGTTTGACTTATAATATAAAGAAATTTATGAAGTACATACTTACAGTGATTTTAAGTTGTAAAGACCAGTGAACATCTTATTGTGTATTTCATGTATTTGATTTGCGCACAAAGCTATTTCAGCTACTTTCATGGCGCCTTCAAAAGCATTAGGTTCAATTTCACTTATACTATTTCTGCAGAGATCTATTTTAATCAGATTTGACAGGCGTCCAAATAAACCATCTGAACGAATAAATCGAATGTTGTTACCATTGAGCAACCTGGAACAAAGCATTTTATCATAAAACCTAGCATATTTTTCATAATGAGATCTAACAATTTTGATTATTTAAATTAAAATATTTATACAAATAAATAATTTTTGAAAACCTCTAAAATCGTTCTCAGTTTTACAGTTCATTTTAATATATCTCGTATGATAAATAAAGCCCAGGCGATGTATAGCATAACTGATTTTTATATAAAAAATATACTGCAATAAAATTTGTTCTAAAATTATTATACAATAAAATATGTATTGTTTTTCCTGTATCAGTATTATTACATTATAATGTAAAAACGTATTAATGAAAATTTTAATATGATATTGCATTTGCCAGTATGAAAAAAATATAATCACAAATGCAAAAATTAATTCTGGTATGAAATGTAAATCAAACCCACAACTCGGTTGTATGCAACGGTATATTTCGGGGTATTTCATTAAGTCCTCTTTCGCTGCAATCGACTACAGTTCCCGTGCAATCGCAGGGCTCCGGACACTCGGCTACGCTACCGCAGTTAGCGCTAAACATGTTTTGATGCATATCATTGCTGCCTGTTGTTGAAAGCAAAAATTATAACATATTAACATATATTTTAGTATGTCAATATTCATACCCTATTTATGTCTAGGCTTTTATAACAATAATTAGATGAAACAAAACTTAAAAAATCTAATGTAGAAAATATCTTGCAAACAAATTACATTGTAGATTATATATGTTGTCTAGATACAAATAAAAATATTTTAAAACATAAATGTAACATAGAAATATCAAATTTCAGAATGAAATAGTATTAAAACAACAATTAAAGTTTTTGTGTTTTTGTAGCAAATAGAAAAAACTTTTTCAATAAACATGAAAAAGAAAATTAGACTTAAACTGCTTATTAGATAAGGTTCTATATTAATTTTTGCAATATATTGCAAAGTTTGTTATAACAAGCGTATATTTACATTTAGCAAACTTCTCGTCACGAAGTGCATCTATGCGTCGCCTCTGCATACGCTTAGGTGTATCGCAACGAGCCCCGGATGTTTCGATTGGATTTCTGTGCAAGTAATCAGTCAGCCATCGCAAATTGCAATCGCACACGAATGGATTTCTGGCCAAATGTCTAGAAAAAATATTCTATAATTCGTTTTTTAATAACATAATAATAATCAGTCAGTGACAATGAGAAGCTTACAAATTATACGGGTGAGAAAAAACATTTATTATCTGCATAGGTAATACAGTAATAGCCCGATTAATTAGCACGTCACGCCTCATCAAAGTAGAGCGTGAATCAAAACAGAGCTATCTTAACATGTTAATTACACCTTAACGGCAAGATGAATAGATAATTGGAAAACTGATAAAAATTAAACCATATTCTACAACACTCCCCGTAACGTAATTAAAAATCGTGGTCGGAACCCAAAAAAATTTACACAAAATGTGTACACATTATTAAAATCTCTATAAAATATCTGGTAATTTGATGTACATATGTCCAATAAACATTTTTGACCGCCAAATGAAATTTTTTTAACTTATTTTTAACGGGTGTCCATAACCGCTGAACCTGCCTTCCCAAAAATTTAATCAGTTCTTCATCTTGCCAATACAAGTGAAATATTTTTTGAATTATTAAAATCGGACGCTCCGTTCTCTTAAAAACTGAGTTACCGTTTTCGGCACTTTTTGCCCCGTATCCTCGGAACCGCTAAACCTGCCTTCGCGAAAAACTAATCAGCACGTCTCCTTACCAATACGAATCGAATGTTTTTTGATTTATTTAAATCGGTTGATCGGTGTTCCCGAAATCGTCGACAAAAGTTTGTATCCGTACACACACACACACATACATCAATTTAATCTGAGGTATGCCAAAATATTCAGAAACCTCGATTTTTTTGCAATTACTATAACTTACCCTACGGTTAATAAACGAATATACTTCCAAAAACCAATAAAATCAATAAGTCTACTCTCTAATACCAAGATTTTTTCCAAATTTGTTGATTGTGAACAAATAATGTGTAACATCCCAAATTGCTTTTCAACTATTGTCAAAATTATAATAATTTTCAACAAATTATTAATTTTCAAAATTATTTAAGATTTCAGTTAAGTAATCAGTTTCGGTTCAAGTTTAGTGCTCAAACTATTTACAAACAAAAGCTCGTCTTCGAAATTGCTACTATCAATATTTTTGTTTTGTTCCTACTCAGTTAATTGCTATTTCTTCGACATCTTCTACATTTACCTCCTCTAAACTAGTTTGTTTCACAACTTCCACTATTTTGTCGTCGATTTCACACATATTTTGAAAAATATCCGTGCTCCAAAAATAGAAGAGCGCTAAACCAAAACAACGCTCTGCGGGATATTATTGTACATTATTTAAAATTGCAGTTGTTTCGCATCACTGCACCTTTGATAAACAACTGAGCATATACAAAAAATATTTAAATAAAATGTATTATAGTATAGTAAGGAAAGTAATAAATAATCTAAAGTCAACAACGATTTGCTATCTCGTTTTTTCACAAATTCTATAATTTTTCACATTTTAAAAAGGCTATGAAAAGTAAAAACCATCATATTTTTAAATACATATTAGAATTATTGTATTATTTACTTACAAGGTTCTTATATTTTTTAGAGATGCAAATGTTCCATTCACTAGCGTATGAATGTTATTATCATACAATGACCTACAAATATAAAAATATAAGTTGCATATCTTTCAAAGAATAAATATATTGGTATTCATGATATATACTTACAGAATACTCAAACTATGTAAATCTTTGAAAGTATCGTATCTGACGCAAGATATTTCATTTGCATTCAATAATCTGTAATAAAATATTATTGTTATCAATACTTTAACAGATGACTTTTATATCGGATCGACGATTTGATATTTAAATTCATCTTTATACTTACAGTAATTGCAAAGATGAAAGTCCTTGAAAAACACCTAAAGGTAATTCTTTAATTTTATTTCCATATAATACCCTGCAATAAATATTGTTTATCATATACAAATAAGGCAATGATCCTCATAACAAGTTAGCACGCAAAGAGTATAGTACTTACAGAGATGATAAGCTCTTAAGATCGCGAAATGCATCATGAGAAATACTAGATATTTTATTGTGACTTATATCAATTCTTCTAAGTTGACGATATGAAACAAAGGCCTTAGCTGGTATTTCAGTGATTTCATTCTGTTCCAATCTCCTGTTGAGAAAATTTTATGTCCGTTTATCAAAATATTTCATCTTATTTTGAGCAATTTAATACAAAATACTCTTTTGCGATGCATTGATGCATAATAAAGATATTATATCTTATTATATTTATAAAATAAATTTAAATCCCAAAATTTGGAGACATTTATAAATATAAATTTAATAATACAAAAAAACTAGATATTATATCATTTGTAGATGTTTGACAACTCACAATTCAATAATATTCGAAGGCAAGTTTTCTGGTATTCTAGTTAATGATTTTTCTCGGCAATCCACAATTCCAGCAGAGCATTTGCATGGATGTGGACAAGTTTGTTGCTCATTTGAACACTCGACAGGAATGCGTTTGACTAATCCTGAAAACATAAAACTAATGAGGAAGAGCAAATGACATTGACTTTTGAGAAAAACCGAAAATTCTAAATAATATATTCGCACCAACAGAGAATAGTTTTAATTGGAAAATTTAAAAGTATGTGAGGAAATGATGAAATTTGGAGAAAAACGGCTGAAACTTTTCATGTCTATAGGTTTTGAAACTTATTAGTAGTGCTTTTTTCCAAAAATTCCTGATTTATTATGAGAGTATCATTGCAGTAGCATTATTCAAAGAATTGTCTATCGTTAAATATTACTTTTAGCCATCTTGCTGGTAAACCTCGGATTCCACGACGAACAAAATTCTTCTTTTTTAGATTTGATAAATGAGTTGATGCAATCGTTGGTTAACTCATAGTTCTCGAAGTGGTACTCTGACAAGCCATTTCCAATGGATCGGAACCAATGATAGAGAGGGGTGGTAAACATAGAGGGGGACGGTGAGAACTCCTATTTCAAAACGTCCAAGTAAGTTTTCAGTGAAAACTTGTCACGTCTTTCGTAACATGGAGTCTTGCAAGCAAAATTACATTCTCGACCTTCATATTCTTCATTCTCTGACCGCCGAAAAATCTACTCCAGTTGATGTGAATAACTCTAGAAGTGTTTGGCACAAGTCTTCATCAAAATTATTCGGTTGTTCGGAATATCCTTATCTTCCAAGTCAAAATTTCCATTTTTGAACCGCGCACACCACTTTCTGCTTAGCGAGACAATGTTTACCGAATACTTCCAGAACAATGCGATGACTTACTGCGGCACTTTTATTTCAAATAATACTCCCCGCAAAATAGCTTTCTCAGGCGCAAATATCGACGTGTTTAATACTACACTACAATTGCCACAAACACAATAGCAAAATGTCATATACTGGTAAAAATGCACTATATCATTAGCTTCCAAAAAATATTTACTTTTGCATGTGTGACTATAAATAGTTAAATGAAATAAAATGCTGATCCCCAAAAGTGAAACCACGTAAATCTTGCGGCATATCGGCTTGGACGTATCTTTATATTTTAAGCATAAACAGGTTTTATCACAATGATGATGGTTTGTTAATGCATTTTAATAAACATATAATTTTGATAATATCATATGATACAGCTCATATTAAAGATCATGCCAATATTCGCGGAAGTTTATCATTATACGACCGCCATATAATAATCAGAGCCACATCAGCAAAATGTTCTGTCCATTTCATAGTAGAAAAAAAATCATGTCTGTTTATTATATATATGGTATGGGTATGAAACTTTGCTTCCGCTCTTTTTTGGAGGTTTTATTGCAAAGAATTAGTATTGTAAAAACTATGTAGGCAAAGTTATATCTTCATATTAGAAAACTATGGAGACTCATGCATTTGTTAATGGAATAACTTCAATGCATTCAATTTAGAAAGTTAAATCTTCATATTAGAAACATATGGAGACTCATGCATGAGTTAATGGAATAACTAATGCATTCAAATTTAGAAGCAAAATGATACTTCAAACTGTTTTAGGCGCAGAGGTTATAGAACTTCGACAACGTGTCGATATATTTGAAATTTGAATAATATTCGGCTAGAAGGTAATGTATGGACTGATGAATATCTTAAAATTTATTGCATCGACCTTTACATTTTTTGCAAATAAACGTAATAGAATCTATTAAAAATCAATGAATACATTAATAATTAAACTTATCGCTATTGCTGATAAATGTATGTTATAGTAAAACAAAGGCGGAAGACAGCGTGTCAAAAATCGTTTCAAAATGTTTTTCTCTAAATCTTCTCATTTATTCACATAATTTAATTTTTTTAATAATATCGGACTTCCAATTAGGAAGAGTTCTATTATTAACAAATATAATAGTGTGTGTCGCATATGATAATCCCGTTATTGAACAAGTAATAAAGTACATTGTTTAACTTAATAAATTGTAATCGTAGTTAGAATATTATAATTTTCATAAAAAAACTTCAGAACAATAAGCAACAATCCCTATGTGAATCACCCTAAAATTACATATTTCTCGCATTAATTATGAGTAATCGTCAACGTATTTTGTTGGGTTCTATATGAACGACATTAAATCTATCAAAAAGTACATTGGATAAAGGTTTCCTGTCTGATACCTGATATATTTAGTTGTGCGCAAACTGAACTCAAATATATCACCTAAATGAATTCAGACTTCATATGTCGAGACAATTTTAAGTAAACATTTACAGTATGAATAGAATATACCTGAGCATTTAAAGTCAATGTCATGCAGATCCAGTAGATTTTGTCCTCGCAGATGCTGTGGTGAAAAGCATCGTGCATGCGCTATGAGTCGCGGCATACCGCGCAGCCATCGAGACAGCCAGCCGGCCGCGCAGTCGCAGGACAGCGGGTTGTCGTCGAGCTGAAGAGTTCGCATTCGGTTCATACCTACGAGCAAGTTGTGCGGCAAGCTCGTCAAATTGTTGTTGTTTAAGGTTCTGGAAACAAAATATTAATTTCCATTTTTAATCAAATTCACGACAGCTAGGTCATTTTGGGACTGGCGTCAGTACATATATTTAAAACATTTGACGCATATTCATTTATATATTAACCCTTTCCACTCGGATGCCGCTATTTCGGCGACAAATTACGTCTTAATTCGCTAGTGAAAAAGGTTAAAACATTCTCTCATTCATGTAGCAATAGACGTATGACATTCAATCGAATTAAGCAAAACAGCTTATAGAATTTTAAAACTGCAACATGTACATATTTCAAATACATATGATTAATGATAAACATAATGATACTTCTTTAGTTTTTTTGGCCTTTCTAACTCTATCGATATTGTTTCAATAAAAAAAAAATTCCATTTTATCTCCTTGACTGCCGTTTACGCACGATTTTTGCAAAAATAGAGAAAGTGATTTAAAAAACTTAATAACTAGATTAAAGTTACTTACATTAGTCATTTTCTTAATGACGTTTCATTGAAAATTTAAATTTCTGTAGAAATAATTCAAAAATAATAATATTAAAACGTTTATCGATAAATATATAATTTTAATTAAAAATAGTAATTAATAGAAGATAAGTTCATTCTAAAAAAATTAAACCATTTGCCTAAAATTTTTGAATTCTATATAGAAATTAAAGAAAAGCATTGTTTTTCTACTTTATTTGTCATTTGATATGGCATTAGTACATTCTATTAATAGATATTCACTTCAAATTTGTTTATTACAGAAACTCTAACAACAGATAATAATATTTTTAAAACACTATCTCATACAGAATGTAAGATTTTATATTTTATAATTATTAACATATTGAAGTAGATACATAAATAAAATGTGAATGTTATAGCTGACAAAACTTTTCTTATAAATTGTTTATATTACATTCCACAACAGAAATATATGTTTGTGTGTGCATACAGATCTGTAATTGTATACGCAAGTACGCGTTGAGATGGTCTGAGAATGAAATATACTAGTGCATCGAAGCGCATCAACCGCAATTCAAATAAATTAAAGATAGTTCAAATAATTGATTCAAATTACCGTACAACAGATGTTATTTGTGTTTTTTTCATGTTGAGTTACGTCATTAACTAATTTATTATGTTATAAAGAATTTGAAATACTCTAGTATTGTTTATGCAAATAGACTTTGGGATCGTTCAAGTATTACGTAAGCAGATTTATTACAATTATTTACCCCCCCCCTTTGTCAGCAAAATTAAGCAAATTTCTTACCGAAAATGCCCAAAATAAGCAAATCAATATCCCCCCGCCCCCCTATAGTGCTTACGTAATACTTGAACGGCCCCTTTCCGGAATTCCGGTTGTTATAATTTTATCTGACGATCCAACAAATTTTGGGATTTATATATAACATAAAAATACGGCAATAAATTATGAGTTTAATTTAATCAAATTTTGAGCAAGATTATGAATACTTTTCTAGTAACCTCTTAACTTACAAGGACGAGCAGAGCCAGCGTACGATGGCTAAGCCAAACGCAAATATTACGGGCATGGCCCGCGTTCGATATTCGGGCCAGATACAAATATTACGCATTACGTACATGGCTTATTATAAAATTATTTATATTTTTGTGGTAAACTGTACACTGTGTGGGAAAATTAGTCACAAACGCTACGCCAGCTTCTACAACTTTAATAAGACGTAGTTATCCATATGAGAATGATTATTATTATTATATTACTATAGATTGTCATTAGCTACATTAATATTAATTGTTATCCAACTTACAAAATTTCTAAGTTTGTAAGCGTCTTGAAGGCAAGTGGATCAATACATGTAATTTGATTATTATCAAGCTGCAAAGAACGTAATCCTTGAATTCCTTCGAACCAGCGACCAGAAACGGACACCAGTTCATTGTGACTAAGATCTCTGTAATATTAGGATAAATTAGAATAAAAAAAAGTAATTAATTATTTATGCATTTTTTTGCTTTCTTATTGTTTTAACATAAGTTCTAAATTAAATTAAATATCATTTAAAAAAATAAGTAAATAATGTAAAAAAATATGCCTATTTAAGAATAAAGAATACATTTTTATGTCATTCATGAGAAGTTAAAATCAAATAAAAAACAATACTATATAACTAAGCCACATACTGCAAACAATAAAATTAATAAAACATTATTGAAATCGCATAATTTTTTAATTTTCGATTTTATATGGATAATAAGCAAGGATTTGCAAAAAAATCTTAATGCAATGCATTTACAAATGTAATGTAATGTCCAAATATAGTGAAAGGTTATAAATATATATATATATATATAATATATATATATATATATATATGTATATGTTATACTTACAATCGTAAAAGCTTTGGAGCACTCGACAAGGCGTTATCCGTTAAATAACGTATTAAGTTATTATTGAGACGTCTGTAAAAAATGCGCATATTATAAAAAAATAAACAAATGAATTAAAATATAACTTAATATTTAAATGAATTAGAAGAATGTTCTCATTATAATAAATAAATGCTATGTTATTTATAAATAACAACAATGAATAATTGTGTTGTAAAAGTGCACTAAATATTAAGTAAATAAAAATGATTCATAACACTTACAAAATGCGTAATTTAGTGAGGTGCTGGAAATCAAGCGCTGAAATAGCACTAATATTATTACTTTGAAGATCCCTGAAATTATAGAATTAAAGTTATAATGGTCTTCAATGATCCGTATATATATATATATATATATATATATATATATATATATACAGGTCCGCGGTTAAAAAGGTCCACCACCGATATATCCAAAACAAGTAAAGTTAAGTATTTTTTAACAATAATATTTGAAAGTAAAAAGATAACCAACCATCATTTTGATTCTTACGACATTGCTACCGGGAGATAAACATCAATCTTTGAAATCCATAACAAAAGTATTTCGTTGTTAGTTTTTATTAGATAACCTCTATAAAAGCTTACATGCGAGTGGAGTGAAAAAGACCAACTAAACTTTTACCCTGGCAAAGATGTAAACAATAAATCGAAAAAAGCAATTTTACAAGAGAAAAATTAAATAAATAGTTGATCTAACTTTGCTGATGAATAGTTCTGACAAAGTATCAGATCAAGGTTATATATAGTGTTATCTCTGTAAAAATGTATCCATTTAATTTATATTTAACATTGAATAATGTAGTTATTATTTCGCAAAATTAGGCATTGGACCTGTTTTACTCCGACTATGGGGTAACAAATTTTTGAAAAACAGCAAAAAATTCATTTCTGCAATGATGAATTACAATTAGCTGGGAGTTATAGTAAACATGGTCAGATAGTTGTTTGTTTCATATGTGTTATTTGTTGTGATACAATTGATTTGGTTTTCATAATATCATTGCTCAACGTCAAATTGAATCTTTGTGCCCCGCTCTATCAATAACAAATATGATACCACTTCATTTAAAGTTTAAGAAAAATGGAGAGAAGATAAATTCTGTAAAATGTATGTTATACTCATTGCCGGTATTTTCTGCAATGCTAAAGTTGAATAATTTGAATATTCTCTATTGATGGCTTGTAAAAGAGTTCAGTTTAATTTTTCTCACCGAACAAATTGCAATTTCAAATATATTACGGAATATAAATAAGAGTAAAAATAATATTAAGATCAATAAAATAACAAAGATAATTAATTATTCGAGTATTTTTGTGTTGGTGATTATATACGGAACCATTAATAATATCAGAACTATAAATCCTATTTAAAAATATAATATAAAATTATAGAATAATACAATAGTATACCAGAACTAATGACACTTGAAAATATAATTGCATGTGCAATTAAGAATGTTTATTTTGCAACTAAATTATCACTACTAAATAAAATTAAATTCAAAAATCAAAAAAACGAATGACAAGCACATTTCCAAATGACTTTGTAAAAATGTCATAAATACGATCGAAGGCAAATAATAAATAAAATGCATGTATAATTATCATTGTCCGTTTCTCATATATGTACATATAACACGAATAACATATTTATTTTGAACTGTTACTGTATACATACAATCTTTCAGTATCTGGAGGTAGCTTCCTAGGCACTTGGGTCAGAGTTCGATGAGAGCAGTCAACAGTTGTTCCGGAACAAGCGCAAAGACGCGGACATCGCGTTTCTTTCGCGAGCGATACCGTGCTGTTGCCAATCGAAATCGCTATTTGGGTAGCGACAACTACCCAATAGAGCAGCGGCAATTTCATGGCGACGGTCTATCCTGTGATCGCTGCTGGATTATCAGTTTAGGATCTGTGGAAGAACAAAATCATTTTAACCCTTTCGGTACGCGTGGCACACATATGTACCACAAAGTTTGAAAATTTCTGAAGTTGTATTTAAGTATGTAAGCAATGCAATTTATACCACCACGTAATGTAAGTGTTTAGCTATGATATAAAATACATATGACCCATAAAACAGCATTAAGTTTAAAACCAGTCACGTTTTATTTTTTGTCCGTCCAGACCACGTTGCAAAAATCATACTATTTTCAATAAAATTTAAAAAAGTCTTGCGTTTTTTGGTGATTACAATGGACAAGAAAGCGTGATAAAGTAAGCAGATATAACTATACCTCACACATTTAGTTTTTATTACTAAATTAAATTAGTGGTACACAGGGCCGGTCCTGGGATTCTCAGCGCCCGCATGCAAGATTTTAGACACCCCCCCCCCAATAATTTTAACAGTTTTAACAGTTTTTCGTTAAAATTATATAAACATTTACGTTTTTTTTGTTAATTTTTAGTCATTCTGGATTTAGTACACAAAAAAATAGATAAAATCTAAAAGCGTACAAAATACATTGATTTAAATTTATTTAGAAAATCGAGGCGATTCGCGGGTTGATCATAATCAAATATTTTTAAGTTCTCAATTATTTCTAATGTATGTATCACGCCAAAAGAGCAAAAAAAAACTAGTATTTGATTTTTAAACATAACACTCGTATTTCATGTTTTAATTTAAATTAAATTTCATTATTCACAATAATATCCAAAATTGAATCGTAAACTTCTCCTTATTGGTATCGTAAGGGCCGAATTGTATTCAGCTTTATTTTCCCATCAGATACAGAGTATCAGATTATTGTGTTAAAGTTTTAAATTATTTTTTAAAGTGTCCAAAGATTATAACTGTATAAAGTGTCCAAACAAATTATAATTGTATCTGTATTATTTCTGCATAGTTAATAATTAAATTTTGTATAGAAAAAGCTTAAAGATTTTTGTTCCTAAGTACATTTTTCATATTTGCTTCATAAACCTAACCACGCATGTCTTCAACGTTCAAAGTTCATCAGATGTGAAGCATTTGCAACAAAAACAAAAACTACAACTCAATTTTTCGGAATAAACAAGCCATTTTCTAAGCACTGATTCCCCATTTTCCATTTTTTTAGTATAATTAGTATATGTTTCTTTATTAAAGTTCCATTTCAACTAAGTCAGCTTGCCATTTTTCATCAATAACGCCCAATAATTAATTTAAACTTTCGTAGGTTTGCTCTTACGGGATTGAACACTAAATAACTTCTTTTTTGATTCCACGTTAACTTCAAACAAAGAAAAAAATTAATAAGTACATTAAACAATAAACAGAACATTAATTTACAAATTTGCAGAGTTATTATTTGGTTAATTGTTTCTATTGATATCACATTGCAAACTGAATATGCTTTTTGTGTCTCATAGTTAAGTTGGATTGTTTATTATAATCTATTAAGTATTCCGGATTTTATATTTAAATATATATATATATATATATATATATATATATAATATTATAAATTTTATTTCTGAACCTCGTTTTGGCCCCCCTAAGGCGTGCGCCTGCATTTTTGCATGCATTGCATTCAAGGTAGGACCGGCCCTGGTGGTACACATACGTATCAGTCGTCTATTACATGGGTATAAATGCGTACCACTAGTAGAAAATACCTATTGGTGCCCAGAAGAAATGGTCTTTTATCGGAAAAGTTTGGGCGGCGTTGATCGTGCCGATAGCAGCTGGCATATTTATATGATTGTGATAAATAATTTTGCCAGTTAACTTTTCTAAACTCTTCTAAATGTGAACTCGGTAATTCGTAAACTATCGAAGTTCTTACCATTCTTTATCATTTTTATTAGCTCTGTCTGAACTAGTTGCTCCAAGAATTAAAAATTAAAGCGGAAATATAGGTAGAAAAGGACCTTACTTCTATGAAATGAAAATTGTATGATTATAGATAAAGTATCATTGCGTTTGCGAAATGAAGGTAAAACAAAAGGAAGATGTACAAGATGCAATGAAAATAAAGATCAAACATGAACATAAACACTGTGTCAACAATGCAATGTACTTTTATGCCAAAAAATGTTTTAATTAGAAATTAAAAAGCTTTATAATACATTTTATTTATCTTCAGAATTGTACAATAATTTTTTATTTATTGTTTTCATAGGACGGTTGGTACAAATGTGTACCAACAAAGAGTAAGAATGATACAACGGTTTACCTGCTGCCCAGCTCCCCCCTAATATTTAAAATAATTTTATTTTATCATTTTCATTTTAACATATATCACACATTAAAAATATTACACAAACCGATTTTTTAAACAATTTTTCGAAAACCGTCCCAAAAGGGTTAAACTACACGCAATTGGCAATATAGTTGCTAAAAAAGAGCAACAGTTCTCCCGTAAGACATTGAACAAAACTACAAATTTTGAAAATAAATGATATTAAATCATCTGACATCATAACTCTATAATCAGATGTAAACTATTCTACTCGGTAAAACACAAAAAGCAAAAAAAATTCTGTGAATTCAGAATACTATGTATTAAGTCGATCAAAATGTCCAGAATCTTAAAGTGAAGTAGGTCCCGTTACTCAACAGAAATATTGTCAGAATTCATAATAGTAATTAGCGTAAGGTTTACAATTCGACTACTGTAAACCTTACGCGATTTTGAAAGGAAACGCGAGAAAGCTTTGCTCTATTCAAAAACCCAAATTCCAAGATCCAAAAACTTTATTACTAGCTACATGAGGTCCGAACGTTTTGCTCAGAATTTAGAAACGCGGTTAACGGGAAATAGTTATTAAAACCCATACACAGATTGCAGAATAAAATTAAATAAAAAAGCCCATATATAAACTTTTTCTCAAAACTCTAAAGTATTATTCGACAATAACCAAAATTTTAAAAACATTCCAAAAGAGATTTTGAAACAGATTTTAAAAGAACCAAAGCTATGTAATATATTTTCCAGGATATTCTGAACAATCTATTATAAAAAAAATATCAAACGTATGTATTGACATATTAGTGATTATATGGTTTGATTTATCAGCTCGATTAAAAAGCAATGGTAAGTCAACACACGAAATTGCTTTGAATTCATTTTTTTTAGAAACTCAAAAGTAGCATACTTGAACCCTTGTAAGTTGTAAACCTATCGTCGGCTTGTCATGAAATTTTAACAAATGTTTCTGTTTCTTAATAGGTAATAGTTATATCTTATTTTTGTTCTCTATTTTATTTATAACTGTCCAGTTAAGGACATTTAATAAATTTGAGGAATTTACAATTGTTAGCCGTTAAGAGACATTGTATACTAAATGGACATGTTTCATTATAATATTAACAATATTTTATTGATAATGATATAACCTTAACTATTTACTTATAAATAATGACTAAGTTATTTGAATCTTTATCAGAAAAATTGATGACTTAAATCCAGTGCCGCTTTTCTTTTCAACCTACGTCGATAGTTCTCTGTTATTAAGGAGTTTGCTGGTGAATTTGGGTGATTAATGGGCTTGTTTCTATATTTATATGCTGTTTTTGTTATTACATCTTTTATGGCAGGTGTGTTCGCGTCGAGATGAATTAGCCAGTTCGGGATATATTTTGGTGCTTCTAAGGCAATTTTCAAAAATTTGTTCTGAAATTTCTGTATTATTTCTATATTAGTCTTATGAGCACTCTTGTATTCTATATCTAAACAAATTAATTAGGATATAGTGTAAATATTGATACACGCAGCAAATGTAATAAAACTTACTTGTAAATTTAAATAGATCAACTGATGAACACAACAATTGTTTGGCACACAAATCTAACCTTTCAGTCTATTATTCAATATATGGCTCTTTGTCTTAAGCAGAAGCTAAATTTGAATATGATATAAAATAAATTGAAAGTCCCCTCATAACCTAAACTTTTCCATGCCACTCGTTAGCAATACATAACGCACTGTTGTGCGAACTGCGCATCTATCGTATAAATTGAAATAAAAATAAACGTAAGAACGACGTGTTTTAACAAATGAAACAATGATCGCTTAATATATATAGGTGCTTTATTTATCGTTTCGTTTGAAATTTAGTTGCCTAATCTACATTTAAACTACCATTGAATATGCCGCTTCAGCAGCATTGTGACCCTCAAAAAATTAAAGCAGGAAACCAGCTTATTGTTTGAAATGAATGCGTTAAGAGTACGTGTAAAAGCTCGTACCGGACGTTATAAAATCTTGGATCTTATAATAAGAAGATTCTGTGCTCAATATGATGGAGCCTTTATGTGGACACCAAAGAATTATATTTAAGAATAAATCAAGCACGCACGCGTAAATATCACTGAAGACTATAATCGTCGTTTAATTCGAGAAATACTTTGACTGACGAGTCAATAGGAATCAAGATGAATCATACAAATTGAAAATGCCTGAATGATACATACTATATTTTAATTGATGTATTACATTATGATTAAATATTGAACTCTAAAATGACTATTAGGCGAACCGAGGATTTTCTTTAATAAACATGAGTTACTAAAAAAGATTTTGGTGACTTCAGTAGAAATAAAAAATGTGTATTAGTAATATGTATCTACATATTAAGAATTGTGGGACTATTTACTGTTATATCAGATGTCCTAAAAATAATTATAACTAATTAATAGAAACATTAGCAGGCGTGGCACATAGATAAGACTTGATTTCCATCACTCATCAGTTACGTCGAACTGCTTAGTAACCCATAGTAATCGTCCAAAAATCGAAAATGAAAATTTTTGCACATCTTCACGTTTTGAAGCTTTCTGAGCATTTTAGCATACCTCAGAAGAACCTTTAGCATACCTGTCCACAAACTTTTCGTCCAAGTTTCGAATGGTTCAAAAAACATTCGATTCCTATTGATAGGGAGATGTGCTAATTAGTTTTTGGCGTAGGCAGTTCCAGCCGT